TATCTCTTACGTGCCAGCTTTTGGCAAGCCTTTGGTAGTCATATCTCACTTATACTATATCTTAATTCTTTAAGATACTTGTTATCCCTAGTTTATAGGTGAAAAGACCGAGCCTTAAGGAGATGGAGCATGTTAGTTAAAGTTGTTTCATGCTGTTGTTGCCTAAGGTAACAGCAAATTTTTTGTCAGACCATGGTGTTACCTGAAGTGAATATTAAAACACTGTAGAATCCCAGGCCCTGCTGCAGCTGAAACTTACTGAAAAGGGGTCCAGGAATCTGTATTTTTTTTTGGAGAGGTTTTTGCCATAGGGCGTGTGCACTCGCCAGAAAGAGACAGAGAGACAGAAAACGAGATATCATCCCCCCAGGGGGGATGGCCATGCCACAATCCCTTCTCCTCCATTCTCCTCTCGGAATTTTGGGCACGCACACACATGCGCCCGGCGTGAGTTTTAAGCCACCGGGTCCGGGACACGAACCGCGGTCGACTACGTGGGAGTCCAGCGACATAGCCATTATGCCAGCTGTTGGTCTTGGAATCTGTATTTTTTTTTGGAGAGGTTTTTGCCATAGGGCGTGTGCACTCGCCAGAAAGAGACAGAGAGACAGAAAACGAGATATCATCCCCCCAGGGGGGATGGCCATGCCACAATCCCTTCTCCTCCATTCTCCTCTCGGAATTTTGGGCACGCACACACATGCGCCCGGCGTGAGTTTTAAGCCACCGGGTCCGGGACACGAACCGCGGTCGACTACGTGGGAGTCCAGCGACATAGCCATTATGCCAGCTGTTGGTCTTGGAATCTGTATTTTTTTTTGGAGAGGTTTTTGCCATAGGGCGTGTGCACTCGCCAGAAAGAGACAGAGAGACAGAAAACGAGATATCATCCCCCCAGGGGGGATGGCCATGCCACAATCCCTTCTCCTCCATTCTCCTCTCGGAATTTTGGGCACGCACACACATGCGCCCGGCGTGAGTTTTAAGCCACCGGGTCCGGGACACGAACCGCGGTCGACTACGTGGGAGTCCAGCGACATAGCCATTATGCCAGCTGTTGGTCTTGGAATCTGTATTTTTTTTTGGAGAGGTTTTTGCCATAGGGCGTGTGCACTCGCCAGAAAGAGACAGAGAGACAGAAAACGAGATATCATCCCCCCAGGGGGGATGGCCATGCCACAATCCCTTCTCCTCCATTCTCCTCTCGGAATTTTGGGCACGCACACACATGCGCCCGGCGTGAGTTTTAAGCCACCGGGTCCGGGACACGAACCGCGGTCGACTACGTGGGAGTCCAGCGACATAGCCATTATGCCAGCTGTTGGTCTTGGAATCTGTATTTTTTTTTGGAGAGGTTTTTGCCATAGGGCGTGTGCACTCGCCAGAAAGAGACAGAGAGACAGAAAACGAGATATCATCCCCCCAGGGGGGATGGCCATGCCACAATCCCTTCTCCTCCATTCTCCTCTCGGAATTTTGGGCACGCACACACATGCGCCCGGCGTGAGTTTTAAGCCACCGGGTCCGGGACACGAACCGCGGTCGACTACGTGGGAGTCCAGCGACATAGCCATTATGCCAGCTGTTGGTCTTGGAATCTGTATTTTTTTTTGGAGAGGTTTTTGCCATAGGGCGTGTGCACTCGCCAGAAAGAGACAGAGAGACAGAAAACGAGATATCATCCCCCCAGGGGGGATGGCCATGCCACAATCCCTTCTCCTCCATTCTCCTCTCGGAATTTTGGGCACGCACACACATGCGCCCGGCGTGAGTTTTAAGCCACCGGGTCCGGGACACGAACCGCGGTCGACTACGTGGGAGTCCAGCGACATAGCCATTATGCCAGCTGTTGGTCTTGGAATCTGTATTTTTTTTTGGAGAGGTTTTTGCCATAGGGCGTGTGCACTCGCCAGAAAGAGACAGAGAGACAGAAAACGAGATATCATCCCCCCAGGGGGGATGGCCATGCCACAATCCCTTCTCCTCCATTCTCCTCTCGGAATTTTGGGCACGCACACACATGCGCCCGGCGTGAGTTTTAAGCCACCGGGTCCGGGACACGAACCGCGGTCGACTACGTGGGAGTCCAGCGACATAGCCATTATGCCAGCTGTTGGTCTTGGAATCTGTATTTTTTTTTGGAGAGGTTTTTGCCATAGGGCGTGTGCACTCGCCAGAAAGAGACAGAGAGACAGAAAACGAGATATCATCCCCCCAGGGGGGATGGCCATGCCACAATCCCTTCTCCTCCATTCTCCTCTCGGAATTTTGGGCACGCACACACATGCGCCCGGCGTGAGTTTTAAGCCACCGGGTCCGGGACACGAACCGCGGTCGACTACGTGGGAGTCCAGCGACATAGCCATTATGCCAGCTGTTGGTCTTGGAATCTGTATTTTTTTTTGGAGAGGTTTTTGCCATAGGGCGTGTGCACTCGCCAGAAAGAGACAGAGAGACAGAAAACGAGATATCATCCCCCCAGGGGGGATGGCCATGCCACAATCCCTTCTCCTCCATTCTCCTCTCGGAATTTTGGGCACGCACACACATGCGCCCGGCGTGAGTTTTAAGCCACCGGGTCCGGGACACGAACCGCGGTCGACTACGTGGGAGTCCAGCGACATAGCCATTATGCCAGCTGTTGGTCTTGGAATCTGTATTTTTTTTTGGAGAGGTTTTTGCCATAGGGCGTGTGCACTCGCCAGAAAGAGACAGAGAGACAGAAAACGAGATATCATCCCCCCAGGGGGGATGGCCATGCCACAATCCCTTCTCCTCCATTCTCCTCTCGGAATTTTGGGCACGCACACACATGCGCCCGGCGTGAGTTTTAAGCCACCGGGTCCGGGACACGAACCGCGGTCGACTACGTGGGAGTCCAGCGACATAGCCATTATGCCAGCTGTTGGTCTTGGAATCTGTATTTTTTTTTGGAGAGGTTTTTGCCATAGGGCGTGTGCACTCGCCAGAAAGAGACAGAGAGACAGAAAACGAGATATCACCCCCCCAGGGGGTATGTCCACGCTGCAATCCCTTCTCCATTTTCCTCTCAGGATCCCGAGTATGCACGCATACGTGCCTGGCATGAGTTTTAAGCCACCGGGTCCAGGACTCAAACCATGGTCGACTACATGGGAGTCCAGCGACATAGCCATTATGCCAGCTGTTGGTCTTGGAATCTGTATTTTTAATACACAGGTTAGTTGATTCTTAGGATTAGGCAGACATGACAAGCTCTGGTCTCAGGGCAGCCCCTGCACTGCACTGCCTCTCTGTGGCAGTTTTAATCAGGGCCTGTGTCATTCTTTTATCATCTTTGTGGTTTGTGGAAAGATACCATTTTATTAGAGAATAGGAGATTTTAAAAAGCTCACAGTCCTATTGTGACAGTTGTTTTATTAGAGGCTTAGGGAGAAGAGAAGGAAACTAACATTTACTATGTATTACTGTCCCAACCCGGGGGGACAGTCGAACAAGTTTCCTGAGTGAAGGAATGAGAGCCAGGACAAGCAGTGTAGTGTTATAGCATGGAGACGACACAGTGTCTTCACTGTTGTCTGTTTATTGTGGGCAGCAAGGTATAGCACGGAGACGACGCAGTGTTACAGCTCTTCAGGGTCGCGTCGTCTATTGTGAGCAGCATGGAGATGACGCGGTGTCACAGCTCTTCAGAGTCGTCCGGAGACAATGTAGTGTTACAGCTCTTCAGGGTCTTCAGGGTCGTCTGGAGACTGTGCGGTGTTTCAGCTCTTTAGGCTCTCCAGGGTCGTCGTCTGGCTTCTGTGGGCCAGGCACCGTGGCTATATACACGCTGTTGGGCCATGATTGGTTGTAAAAGGTGGGTTATGATTGGTTGCTTTTGGACCAATCATGAGGTGCTGGATATGCAAATCTGAGGGATTCTAGTGGCCAATCAGAGTATGGTTTCAAAGGTCGGGTTTTTTTTTTTTTTTTGAGAGGTTTTCGCTATAGGGCGTGTGCGCTCGCCAGACAGAGAGAGACATAGAGACAGAAAGCGAGAAATCACCCCCCAGGGGGGATGGCCATGCCACAATCCCTTCTCCTCCATTCTCCTCTCGGAATTTTGGGCACGCACACACATGCGCCCGGCGTGAGTTTTAAGCCACCGGGTCCGGGACACGAACCGCGGTCGACTACGTGGGAGTCCAGCGACATAGCCATTACACTAACTGCTGAAGGGAACCAATCATGGCAATTGTTTGTTCTCTGAGAAACCTCGGCCGATTCCCACAATCCCTTCTCCTCCATTCTCCTCTCGGAATTTTGGGCACGCACACACATGCGCCCGGCGTGAGTTTTAAGCCACCGGGTCCGGGACACGAACCGCGGTCGACTACGTGGGAGTCCAGCGACATAGCCATTACACTAACTGCTGAAGGGAACCAATCATGGCAATTGTTTGCTCTCTGAGAAACCTCGGCCGATTTGCTGGTTTGCAGCCTCCCACATATTACTAGCAATTTCACTGAAGAGTGAACATTAGTATCATTTTATAGTGAGAAAACTGAAATTTCTTCAAGGCCATAGATCTGGCAAGTGACTGAGTCAAGGTTTAGACTTAATTATTTAATAGCAAAATTAGCTAACACTTAGTGTTTACTGTGTTACCAGTTTTTTACATGTATGAATTTATTTATTTCTCAGCAGCTCTATGAGGGATGTTTCTGTCACGATTCCACTTTATTGGTCAGAAACTGAAGCATATGCAAACTAGGTTGTCTTATTTCATGAACTTAGTAAGTAGGGGAGCCCAGCTGTGAACCTCAGCATTCTGGCTCCCGAATCCACATGTCTCACCAGTGCCCAGGACTGATTTGCCTAGTCTCTGACTCATGTTCTTCTCACTTTTTCAGTAATGTTTAAAATGATAACAGACCTGTATTTGTTAGTGTAGTTAGCGTACGACCTAGGGCCTTGCTTTCCGTGTGCTTGGAGAAGACTAGATTTCATGAATTCCTTTTCAGTGCATCACTGTGTTCATGCAGGGCAGTGCGAGAAGGATGGGCGTTATGACTGATGTCCATCGGCGATTCCTGCAATTACTGATGACTCATGGTGTGCTGGAGGAGTGGGAAGTTCAGCGCTTGCAGAAACACTGCTACAAGGTCCATGACCGTAAGTTTTGTTCCCGGATCCCGGTTGTCCTGGCACTGGGTCAGTTGGGGACCATTGACACGGGTTATACCACGTAACAAGTTGACCAGTACTCCTGACCCGAGCTTTCATCTGTCTAATCTCATCTACTCTTATTAATTACTTATTTTTTTCAGTGCCCAGGACTGATTTGCCTAGTCTCTGACTCATGTTCTTTTCACATTTTTAGTAATGTCTAAAATGATAACAGACCTGTATTTGTTAGTGTAAGTTAGCGTACGACCTAGGGCTTCAGCCCAGTGGATAAAAACTCGGACACTGAAGCTGTAGAGTGGTGGTTCACACCAAGGCTTCAGGATCTGGACTAGTCTTAGTGTCCTTAAGCAGGTATACTAGTCATACTTAGCGCACAGGGCGGTTCAGAGAATTAAGAGACATAACACATACTAAACACTGGCCCAGGGAGCGTACTCATTTGGCTGTAGCTAGTGACAGGGCCGCTTAGCACACTTAGACTCAGCTAACCTGGAGAGAGTGCCAGCCCTGCTCCATGCCACGGCATTAGCTTCTCAGTCACCAGGAGGGGTAAATGAGATAACATGTGGGAGGCACTTGACACAGGGCTGGGACACACTACGCTGTCAGTAACTGGAGATAGCAATAGAAACAATAGATCAGTGCTGATCAGAAGAATCAACATTGTTGGATCATGTCAGGTGTCAGTATAGATAGATCTTGCTGAGTAGATCTTACTGAGTGGAAAAGAAAGTTGGTAAGTTATACTTAATGTGTGATTTAAGTTTTTATAAAGTACAAAACTATTCTCAAGGCTTAGGAATACATCTGCAGGTAAAAGTATAAAAGTTATCCCAGCCACCATGGTTTGCACTGCTAGGACACCCTACTCCATTGTCTAGGACAGTCTGGGAGGCCTGGATTTGAGTCTGATTAACCCAAAGGCTAAGTGGGGTGACTTGTGCCTATAATCCCAGAGATTTAGGAGGCTGAGGTAGGAGAATTGTAAGCTCGAGGCTGACCTGGACAGTATAGTGAGATCTGTCTGAAAACGGGTAGGTGTGGGGGCATGTGCCTATTGCTGTTCTCAGCTAGGAAGTTGGATGGAGCAGGAGGATTGTGACTTAGTGAGACCCTGTCTTGGAAAAATAAAAAGTATTAAAGTTGACAGGAAGGATATGAAACACACTTGGGAGGTGCTTGCTTTTGAAGAGAGGAAGAATGGAAATGAATTGTCAATAGAAATCAAAGGATACGTCATTATCCTGTTATGTTCTTTGATTAAAAAGAAATGGCTTGACGCAAACATGACATTCCTAGCATAGTCTGATGGTTGTCATGCTGATGAACGGGAATACAGGCATTTGACTTTTATTCTGCCATTTTGTATTTCTCTCTGTATTTTTAATTTTCAAAATAAAAATGGAAAAAAATAACACAGAGGTGAGCCAAGCCAAGAGGAATTTAAGGGAACAAGAGTGGGGAGCACAGAGCACATGGATGAGAGGACACAAGAAAAGGTGCCACATTTAGAGAACTGTCATTTTTGTAGGTGGATAGAGTTGGAAGCCAGATCCAGAGAGTTGAGGGGTAAATGGGAGAAAGAAGGGGAGACAATGAGTATAGAAACAAATATTCTTTTCTTATCTCTGACTCATGTTCTTTTCACATTTTTAGTAATGTCTAAAATGATAACAGACCTGTATTTGTTAGTGTAAGTTAGCGTACGACCTAGGACTTCAGCCCAGTGGATAAAAACTCGGACACTGAAGCTGTAGAGTGGTGGTTCACACCAAGGCTTCAGGATCTGGACTAGTCTTAGTGTCCTTAAGCAGGTATACTAGTCATACTTAGCGCACAGGGCGGTTCAGAGAATTAAGAGACATAACACATACTAAACACTGGCCCAGGGAGCGTACTCATTTGGCTGTAGCTAGTGACAGGGCCGCTTAGCACACTTAGACTCAGCTAACCTGGAGAGAGTGCCAGCCCTGCTCCATGCCACGGCATTAGCTTCTCAGTCACCAGGAGGGGTAAATGAGATAACATGTGGGAGGCACTTGACACAGGGCTGGGACACACTACGCTGTCAGTAACTGGAGATAGCAATAGAAACAATAGATCAGTGCTGATCAGAAGAATCAACATTGTTGGATCATGTCAGGTGTCAGTATAGATAGATCTTGCTGAGTAGATCTTACTGAGTGGAAAAGAAAGTTGGTAAGTTGTACTTAATGTGTGATTTAAGTTTTTATAAAGTACAAAACTATTCTCAAGGCTTAGGAATACATCTGCAGGTAAAAGTATAAAAGTTATCCCAGCCACCATGGTTTGCACTGCTAGGACACCCTACTCCATTGTCTAGGACAGTCTGGGAGGCCTGGATTTGAGTCTGATTAACCCAAAGGCTAAGTGGGGTGACTTGTGCCTATAATCCCAGAGATTTAGGAGGCTGAGGTAGGAGAATTGTAAGCTCGAGGCTGACCTGGACAGTATAGTGAGATCTGTCTGAAAACGGGTAGGTGTGGGGGCATGTGCCTATTGCTGTTCTCAGCTAGGAAGTTGGATGGAGCAGGAGGATTGTGACTTAGTGAGACCCTGTCTTGGAAAAATAAAAAGTATTAAAGTTGACAGGAAGGATATGAAACACACTTGGGAGGTGCTTGCTTTTGAAGAGAGGAAGAATGGAAATGAATTGTCAATAGAAATCAAAGGATACGTCATTATCCTGTTATGTTCTTTGATTAAAAAGAAATGGCTTGACGCAAACATGACATTCCTAGCATAGTCTGATGGTTGTCATGCTGATGAACGGGAATACAGGCATTTGACTTTTATTCTGCCATTTTGTATTTCTCTCTGTATTTTTAATTTTCAAAATAAAAATGGAAAAAAATAACACAGAGGTGAGCCAAGCCAAGAGGAATTTAAGGGAACAAGAGTGGGGAGCACAGAGCACATGGATGAGAGGACACAAGAAAAGGTGCCACATTTAGAGAACTGTCATTTTTGTAGGTGGATAGAGTTGGAAGCCAGATCCAGAGAGTTGAGGGGTAAATGGGAGAAAGAAGGGGAGACAATGAGTATAGAAACAAATATTCTTTTCTTATCTTTTCCTTTTTGAGAGAGATTTTTGCTATAGGGCATGTACATACACCAGAGAACGACAGAAAGCGAAAAATCACCCTCCCCCCTGGGGGAATGGCCATGTTGTAATCCCTTCTCCATTCTCCTCTTGGGATCTTGGGCACGCTTGCCACCAGGTCTGGGACTCGAACCGTGGTTGACTACATGGGAGTCCAGCAACAGCCATTATGCCAACTACTGGTCCCCAGAGTAATGGTTTTTTACTTAATCCCCTGGGCAATGCAGATGTCTTGAAGTAGTACATGAAACAGGAGAGTGACATAGTGAGTGCCATGTTGGAGAACTATTCCCGTGGTGAAAACTATCTGCCCTAATTGTCTGAGCTGTGATAGACAGGGATCTTTGAGGAGAGACACTTTCATTTTATTTTGTTTTGTTTTATTCATTCGTTCATTTATTCTTTTTTAAAAAAAGAATTATTTTATTTAACTTTATTTAACTTGACCAGAGAGGTACAGAGAGAGAGAGAAAGTGAGACAGAGAGAGAGGGAGATGGACTCGATGCTGCAATCCTCCAGTCTCCATAGGTTTTTGCCATAGGACGGACGCCACCATGCCCGAGAGAGAGAAACTAAAAGCAAATCGCTTGGTCTGGGACTTGAACCATAGTTGGCCATGTGGAAGTCCAGCACCCTTAACCACCACACCACCTGCTGCCCCTATTCATTCATTCTTTAAGGTTTTTGCCACAGGGTGTGGGCGCACTCGCTGGAGAGAGACAGTGAAAGGGAAAGTATGAAATCACCCCACAGGGGGATGGCCACATCATAATCTCTCCTTCTCAATTCTCTTGGGATTTTGGGCATGCACACACACGTGCCTGGCGTGATTTTCAAGCTACTAGGTTTGGGACTTGAACCGCGGATGACTGTGTAGGAGTTCAGTGTTTTAACAACTATACTACCTGCTAGCCCTGAGACTTATTTATTAAAAGGGAATATTACACTCGTCAAGCTAGCTTTCTCTTGCTCTTTAAGAAGTACAACAGGATTTTATTTTGTTTATTTCTTTGCCAGAGGGTGCATGTGCCTGCCAGAGAGAAACAGAGAGCTGGAGAGGTTAAAAAGCACCCCACAAGGTGAATGGTCTTGGCACACTTCCTTCTCATCCATTTCTCTATTCTGTTGGGATCTGGACACACACTCTCACATCTGGTGTGTTTTTCAAGCCGTAGGGGTCAGACCAGAGTTAGCCTTGCGGATCCAGCTCCCTTGACCACTAGGCCATAGTGGTTCCCTTGACCACTAGGCCATAGTGGTTAAAGCGCTAAACTCTGATGCAATAGGAGTGCTTGTTTTATCTTTAATTTACATGACAATTCATTCCTTCTCCCTTTTGGTTTCTTGTATAAGTCCTGAAAGTGAGCTTTAATGCCGCGGGGAAGTTTCATGGCCTCTGCAAGGAGCCATATGATGCCCAGCTACTAAGAATGAAAGTGTTTTTGCCTTTACTTGACCTTTAAAATTGTTATGATCTAACTTAGGAAAGTCCGGTAGAATGTGTCTAGGAATTGATTTATTCTTCACTTGTTATGTACTGTGCACCTAAATATGGTTATGTGGTGAATATTGTAGAGCTATAATGTTTTCTCCTATTCTTCATTAAACAAATAAGCAAGCAAACCAGAAAACTTATTCCTGAGCATTTTTGTTACTGGAGAGATTTTAAAACAAGGAATGATGGAAAAAAGTTATCTGAAATTAAGCACATATCTCTAAGATCCAGTATTATTAATCTGCTAGCTTTTGAAAAGATGCCTAGGAAAGTCCCCTTGTACCAACTGGAAAAATATTTAGATTCTAAGAAAATTATGAAACAAAGTAGTAATTGAAACGTAAGTTATTCAAGGGTGTGTGCTC